ATGTTTTATGTTATGAGTGCTTAGTGTATATTTAGTTGATGTTTTTCTTAGTTCATATCTTAGATGTTATTACTGTTTTTCTTATACATTTTATTGTTGGATGTAACTGGGACCCCGTGTACATAATTTCACTCCACCACATGTACCACATGAGGTGCAAATGACAATAAAGCAACTCTGACTCTGACTCTGATGAGGTGGCCTCTACACCCTTCTCTGTACACCAGCGCTGAAAAGCTGTCCGTTTTGATGTGTACATCGCTGTGGTAGATGTAGCACGTGAAACCTGAATTGTGCGCACTACATCCTGTGGGCGACCCATCCTCTCTAAGTGGATCCGTCAACGGCCAGACCCACAGATGCTGGCCTATTTCTGGGTAACTCCTGGTCGCTCCTCCTGCCTGGAGGAGAGCGTCCTCCCTCCACGGCAGTTTCCACAGGCACCCCGACAGCAGGCGTTGCAGGACTGGGAACCATGGTGCGCTCACGCGTTCGGGGTCACCAGAAGAGCTGTCAATCCCTCCTCCTGAACTTGGTTCATGAACCGTAAATCAGAGGAGGTGGAGAAAAAAATGCGTACAGAAGCATTTTGGGCCATGGGCTGTGGGCAAAAGCATCCACCCAGCGGTGTTTCGTCTCGTGGGCTCAGAGAAACGCATAATTGACACTGAGCGTTTCTCGTGTCTCAAACTGGCCCACAGCTACTATATCAATCTGAGACAAAATGCTCCATAAGAGGATGATTAAAGGTTGTTCTGTCTCTGACAACTTTGAGACAAGAAGAAAACATGGCTGCAGGATACGATAATCGTGCTGGACACCAGATTTCCTTCCATCGACTGCTGCAGAAAAGGACAGCATGTCGAACAGTGGACATGAAGTGGCCTCTACGCCTTCTCTGTACAGCAGCATTGAAGAAACTGACCACTTGATGTGAACAGCGCTGTGGTGGTTGCAGCACGTGAATCCTGAATCATACGCACTACATCTTGAGAGAGATCCATCCTCTCAAAAAGATCCGCACTGCGGCCAGACCACAGGTGCTGGCCTATTCTGATTAATTCTTGATCATTCCTCCCACCTGGAGAAGAGGGTCCTCCCTCCACGGCAGGTTCCACGAGTGTCCTGATAACAAATATCGTAGGCCTGGGAACCATGATGCGTTCATGCACTTGGGGCAAAGGAGCTGCCAGTCCCTCCTCCTGAGCTCGGTTCAGAAAACCGTGGTATCAGAGGGAAAGAGGAAGGTGAAAAAGCATTACAACCACAGGCTGTGAGCAGGCACGTCCACCCAGCGGTGGATCGACCCATGGCCCCACGATAATTATAATTGACATTGAGCGTTCTCTCGTGTTGCTACACATCCACAGGCGCTGGCAGGATTTCTGCCGTGTCTGAGCCATAGCTCTGGGAGGAAGGTCCCAGGTCCCCATGCCGCAAAGGACCGTCTTGGACATCACATCCGCCCCCTGTTCGGAATACATGAGATGTACCCACTCCAATGGAGAGCAGATTGGGTGTGCCCCACACAGCATCTGTCTCACAATGTGGCACATGGGTTGAACACATACATCTCCTGCCAGTATGTATGCAACAGTCACTTGCTGTCTGTGTGAATCAAAAAACCCTGATGATTCTGCAGCTTAAGGTCAGTGTTGAGTCACATTCAAAGAGCCCCTGCGACGCTCCAAAAACATTTAAATGAGCTGCTGTGTAGAGAGCTACAGCGGCCCCACAGCTTGTTAAATGTGTGTTCCTCTGTGAAAAACTGACAAGTGTGACGTAGGTCTGCTGACGGAAAACAGCTGATGTCACTCAACCGATTCACGTGAGTTGCACTGCTGCCATCTGTCTGTACAACTGCTCAACAGCAGCAGGTGTCCAGATAAAGCAGAGTTAAGGCGGCTCGGGCGCATAATGGAGTGTTGTTTCTCACAGTTCAGAGATTGACAATCTAGAATAAATCTCATCATCCAGTTCGTTGGGACTAGGAAGTGATGAGAGAGGAACCTTGCGTTTTCCTCTCCTTTGCGACTCCAGAAATTACATTTAAAACAGAATTTCCTGAGCTTCTGCGAGAGGGGACGAGATCTGTTCATAAATGACAGAAAAAACGTCACAGAGTTCCTCCACACCGGGTTTTGAGCTGAACTGCAGCGTGAATCCCCGGATGAAAACGGTTCGTCCATCCGTCTGGAGCGCGTGTTCATAGCCACCCGTTATAAGTTACAAAGCGGGCACGCGTTTATGCTGTGAAACTCACATGCATGCTGATGTGAGCTGGAGCACGCTGAGTGAGAAAGAAAAAACATGCGCGTCCCCAAGCATGCAAGACGTTGTGTGGAAGCAGCTCATCTGTGTTGTACTCACGTTGTGTGCAGCTGCTCCGTGTAAACGCTCGGGAAGCGGGTGCACGTATGAGTCGACATGCCCTGAAGGGTCGTGTGTGCGCGTCTTCATTAATGCGACGCCTTAAGCCAGGATTGCCGCGGGGGCGCGTGTTGGCACTGGTGCGGTCAGGAAGCAGCGTGCAGCATCGGTGGAGAGGTTACCACTGGCTCGGTCTCCTTCGCGGATGCCGGGGCCGAGCCGCTGTGAAGTCTTGTACAGCTGCTGACGCCGCGGGAGCGCGCGTTGGCACTGGTGCGGTCAGAAAGCAGCACGCGGCATCGGTGGAGCTAGGCTACCACTGCTCGGTCTGCAGAAACACGTTCATTCTTGGCTGCAAGTCATGTAAACTTTTGAGTGATTCCACGAGCTGCAGTATTAATTCAGAAAACCTTCTTCGAGGATGCCTGAGCAGAGCGCTAAGAGGCTTGTGAAAGCTGCTGACGCCGCAAGAGCGCGCGTTTGACACCACTGCGATGAAAAAACGTGTGTCGCTCCTGCCGAGAGCGAGATACGTTGCTGAGCTCGTACCGCGGTCTCACGTTAACGTTGACGTGAACGGCGGGCGCTGAGAGCTGCGTGCGCACTTTCATCCCGCGGGAGCACATATCGGCACCGCTGGCAGTGAATGAAAAACAACCTTAAAAAGGCTCATTCGTGATGAGTGTGTGTGATGGAGCCGCTTGTCAGATAAACCATGCTGACAGCCTGGCTAAAGGACACCATCATAAATTGATGTTATTTCACATCGTGTCATCAACACACCTCCAGCAACCCGACACCTGGTTACCTTCCCTTGAGCTCTGTTTGTTGTCCTGGAGGGCTCCCTGTTGGTGAAGTCCGGGAAAAAAAATGAACTTCCGGATGCCGGGGACGTCTGACGGGAGGAGCTGGCGTAGCAGAGCTGGCGAGGCGTTGTGCAGCCGTGGAGCAACTTGAAATGATCTCTCGCTGATGAAAAGAGGACCTCCAACAAAAACTCCTGCAACTCTCCTGAGAGGAAGGTGGAGTGACGAGCCAGGAGAACCTCTGGGACCTTGTTCTCCGGCTGCGATGCGGGGCAGCAGACAGCAAAAGAGGCGCACCGGTTGAGGATGACGTCAGCTGCCCTGTAGACGGAGCGTACTGCAGGGGCCGGCAGCGTCGTTAGCAAGCAGCCACTACGAGAGCGGAGCGAGCCGAAGGACAGAGGGGCACGTCTCTTCCCGCCTCTGGGCGTGTACGCCAACAGCGTAACGCGTTGTTCGCTGCGGCCATGTGGAACGCATGCTGGTGAGCTCAGAATTATAGTTATGGTTATGCTAACCGGAGGCACGGGACGCTGGTCCACCTCGACATCTTGCTCCAATGAAGCCTCCATCAGGCTCGGCTCCAGGGGGCACGGGGGGACGTTCCGCTCAGTGAACCCCTGCTCTGGAGATGGGTGCGGACTGTGGAGACCGGCTCCCCCAATCTACCAGGAAAGAAATGTCTGTGGCCTCGTCCGTAGGACGTCCTGTTGGAACACGAGGCCATATGGATCAAGACGGTGAGCCGGAATGGAACCCAGTAAACCTTCCCGCCGGATCATCCGAACTGGCGGGAAAAGGCGTGGGACGTAGAAAAGGGGTCCCTTCATGTCAGTCGCCTCCTGGGTTACGCCGGGCAACCCCTGAGGGCGCCGTCGGCCGGAGCGGTGTGATCGCCGATGCGAAACGAGGTGGGATGGGGTGAGCATTCACTCAGCCCCCCTCCACCGACACTACGCTCTCCAGGAGGGAATGAGCAGCGGGGGGCTGCAGCTGAGCGCCGCCTGTCCCGGAGGAACCATCCGATTCGCTCCGAGGGTCGGCGATAAGAGGAAAATTACAAGATGGCGTTGTCCAGCGTGTAGTGACCTGTCACTGAGAAATATTCCTTGGCGCTTACCTTGAAATAAGACTGCTCGTCAGCTTCTCCTCAGGGAGGAGAACTCACCGGACGACCGGAAGTTGACTGCCGGGCCAAGTGTCCTTAACAAAGGTTGGTCATCTACACAACTTTCCTTCTTCGTTCTTCTGACAGTGCTATAGCTCGCTGAAGAAAAAATGGGAGCCGATTTCCCACTCTTAACGTAATTTATACGGACCGGGTGGGGCCCACACAGCAGGTGGGCGTGGACTAAATTTTTTCAGTGCAATGCTACGCATAACGGGATAAACCCACCAAGCGACAGCTTTAAAGGGCGAAGCTTATACGAAATAGAACTTAATGACTTGGGCTGTTTTTAGTTCAATCTTGTGGCTCAAGGTTCACCAGCTTTTCTGACTAGAAAAGGTCTTCCAGTAGGCTGGAATTGCCCCACTGACTGCCAGTTGATGGTTGTTGTAACAAGATTGTATTTATTATTATTTCTTTGTTTGTTTGTTTTTTATTTAATTAATTTTTCTCTGGGTGTATTTATTCAGTGGAAGGTGGCACAAATACCTCTTTTGAATGTGAAAGTTGCAGCCCCAGACGAGCACAAGTCAAATACGTAGGTATCTCTGCAGATAAATTCTAGCTCCCTCAGGATCCTGTGACGTCACTTTTGGTCTGTCTCGTTTCCGCTCACCGGAAGTTGAAGTCTCGCGATACTTTCTATTTTTCATTGATTTCGAACATGGCGTCTGAAGTAGAGGCGGGTACCTCTGTAGCAACAGAACAAGAGACAGAAGGAGGGTAAAACGGTTTTATATTTTCTATTTTGCATTTTCTTAAAGTGCAATATATAAATCAGCTAATTTGTGCTAAGCTAACCTTCGTCTTTAGTTTGCTTTTCGTCAAAATACCATTAGCGAACCGGCTAACAGATGATAGAGTGAACACAATGATGTTGACAGCAGCACTCACTTTGTTAATAAAAAAAACCACCTCTTTGTGTTATAACCTGCCGAATAAAGGCCACCTTTATTGCCTTGAAACTTTTAAATTTTGTGAATTTAGGTTTAAACATTCCGAAATAACCATCCACTCCGTTTGAATTTTAAACCAGTAAACCTTGGCTAATATCCTAAATGCGTCTGGGAGCGCTTAGATCTGCCTTTTTATTCAAGTTAGTGCTTCTTTTTTTTTCTTCATGATTTTAGGAAGTGTTGAACACGTCCTTACTGTTGCATATTACATAACTCTAGTAGCGTTGTAATAATATGCACATAAATAAAGACAGACACGCTGTATACCTATGCTCACGCTCATGTGCCAGTAGTTTGTGACTTCTTTCTCTGGTACCATGGTATAAACGTGTTTGTAAAGCCATTTCAACTGAGTTGGACATTTCCTCAATTCATCAGTCTGTTGCACAACTTACCCATACAAAAATTTGTTCATCTTGTACGTACAGTAGCATGTTTTAACTTTTAACTCACCTCAAATTATATTTATTATAAAACGTTTTACTTAGCATGCTATCAGGAAGTTGTTGCTCATTTGCTTTATTAAATTGTGAAGATTGAACTTTTTTTTTATTTTATGAATAGGGGATTTACATGACCTCAGTAACCAGTGCTAGGTATTGTTCTTAATAGCAATGTTTTACAATAATATAGATAATGACCACAATGAGCATTTACAATTATCTCTCCAAATATCCATCCATCCATTATCTTTACCCGCTTATTCCATTTTGGGTCACGGGGGTCGCCGGTGCCCATGTCCAGCAATCACTGTGCGAGGGGCGGGGTACACCCTGGACGCAAGTCCATCACAGTCTCTCCAAATCTCTGCACAGTTATTCAAATATGATTATACCAGTGAAAAGTTCAAAATGTCAAGTAATCTGTGGTACAGAAAGTGGTTTACTTTATTCAATGTTGAACATGTCAACATAATTTTAGGTGTCTGTATTTGTACATTAACACTTTGATGGTCTTTAGTAACTTAAGTAGTGTTTTGTGTGAAAAAGAGCTGAACTTATTTTAATATTAAAATAGATAAATGTTTAACACGCATCTGGTGGTGGTGTTGTGACAAGTTGTGTTCTCCCAGTATAATAGATTTCCAACCATTGGAATGTGTTTTCTATGCTAAAATGCATAAATTTTAGCATAGAAGAAGAAAAATCTCAAGATTTGTTCATCGTGAGGTAACAAGTTAGCTGTACATTTTGGACAAATGATTGAACCTATTGAGCACAGGGGAATTATTTTTCAGTGGTGATATTTAGCTGTCAACATGTTTCCTTACATGGGCACCGGCGACCCCCGTGACCCAAAAAGGAAAAGTGGGTAAAGATAATGGATGGCTGGATGTTTTCCTTGTTAAAAATACAAAAAAGAATCAAAATCTATTTTTAACATCTTACTTAAAATATAATTAATTAAACAACAGAGATGGACCAAAACTTGTAGGAAAATTAATCTTGGTAGGTTAGAGTAATGTATCCTGACACAGCACTTGTGTTTTTTAATAATGAAAATTAGGCACATTTTAACACATAAGGTTGTAATATCTCTCAGAAAAAAAAACTGTCTTATAATGCAGATTTTTTTAAAAATAAGTTTTTAACAGCTTATATAGGTTCAATTTAAAATAGCCCACTTAAAGTCATCTGGTCTCTCCACTGATTTTTAGGGAATCTTCCTTTGGGGAGCTGCCTACAAGCATGGATACAGAGTCATCAAATGGCAAGGAGGGAATGGTAAATTTATTATTTTTTTACTTTTATTATTGTTATTATTATGGTTATGTTTTTCAAAAGAATTTGTCAAGCATGTACTCATGATAAAAATGTCCTTCAGGGTTTTTTAAAGCATTTATTGAAGGAAGATAATTTTGATCCTTAAAATATTCAGTGTATCTGTAAATATTCACTCTGTCAAATAAGTAAGAACAAAAACAAAATATGTGTATGTTTATACATCTACATAAAAACACATTTCGTTATTACTAGGAGTCATACTTTGGACACCTTGTCCATTTTATTAGATTGTTGTTTTTGTCTTGGATCAATTTTGGCCCCCCATTTAATGTAGGGTCAACTTCCCCCTTTCGTGCTCCCCTCTGGTGGTGGACCCCCCTGCCACCAGTGCATTGGCGGCTCTCAGCAGCCAGGGCCTGGGTGCCCTGGTTCTGTTGGGCCTCTGTTGTGGGGTGGTATGACCTCGGGGCTCAGTGTCCATGGCCGGATCAACTCTGGAGGGGCGGGTTGCCGGCGGGGCCTGTTGACTTGTCGCTACAGCCTCCTGGAGTTTCTGCATTGTGGTTGCTGGGGATCGCCTGGGGTTTCCCTTTGCTTCTCTCTCTGGGGGGTGCGGGTGTCCCTGTTGGGGGGCTCCCGGAGTTCCGGGCTTGGGGACTGCTGTGTGTCTGTGGTTCCGGTCTTCCCTGTGTTGCCATCGTGTCCTGTGGGGACGGGTCTGTGGGTCCCCACATCCACTATTGAACATTATTATGGAGAAACCTTATAGTGACAAGCATGCTCACACAGGTGTTTAGATTCAGGTGTGATATAGAAATTATTATTTTAATGCTTTTATGCCAATCTAGACCTATATTATACTTATTTAAACACACTTATACTCACTTTTGATGCAGCTTATCTGCTTATTCAGTCATTCCTGTGCTGCAGATGTGTTTTGGAGTAATTAAAGTCCTCCGGGGGATGCTCTAGCCAGAAGATGGGGCCCCGTTTTCAGGTTACAGTGACCCAGGTTTTGAAGGACATGTTTATATGAAATCGCTCTGTTGCACAGATTGCTTTGATGAAGGAAAAACAGATTTAATTAAATCTGTTCTCCTGGCAACCATCAAAACTTGCTTTGATCTGCTCTCACGCGATCCGGTCAGGGAAGAAGGTATATAAGAAATGTATCAAACAACAGAGAGTTAGAAGTCTTGTTCTGGACCAGCGCGCGGTGCCAGATCGCCTGATTGAGTTCTCCTCATTGGATCGAAAGGCTTCCCGATCATTTTGTCACGGTGAGGGATACTCATATCAATTTGTGTGTTAAGAGTGTACATGACTCTTTTGCTTGGCTGTTATTTCTTGTGGCAGATTAATAAATGACAAATATTATTCTAGCAAGTTACAGTCTGTGTGTCATTTTTTCCTTCGTCTGAATAATATGTGCCGATCGTTCACGAACCTTTGATAAAGAATTTCACAATACAAGGTGTTTATCAGATACACACTCAGTTGGGTTGTGGTGGCCACTAAATATATCTTGTATTACCATGTACTGTATACAATACTTTCTAATGATGTTATAAGTATCATTATATATGTTGTTTGTTGTTGTGGTTTATCGGTTTTGTCTTTTTGCTTTTGTTTTCTTTCCGTAGGTCTAGAGGCAGACTTCAATTATGTTGATTGTTGGGCGGCTGTGGCTGAGTGGTTAGAGCAGTCGTCCTCCAACGCGAGAGTTGGGGGTTCGAATCCACCAGCAGTCACATGTCGAAGTGTCCCTGGGCAAGACACTGAACCCCTCAAAGCCTCTGATGTGTGTCCTATCAGTGTATGAATGTGATCTAAAACACTGATTAGAGTGCTGTATGAATGGGTAAATGAGGACACAGATTGTAGTGTAAAGTGCTTTGAATATCTTGAAATAAGATAGAAAGGCGCTATATAAGTACAGTCCATTTACCATTTACCATTGATTTGTGTTCTCTTTATCCCTCTCTCTCTCCTCTATTCCTATCTGCTTCTTTACATTTTAACTCTTCTCTCACTTTTCTGCTTTGTTATCTTCTTTGTTTTTCATCCCCATGTCCATTACATCTGAAACAAGCCCAAAGCAAATTCTAATAAAATTTAATTTATATATCAAGTGGAGCATTAAGACCAGCCATAATGCTCTGCTTGTGAAAGTAAATCTGTTGGGCATCACTTTGACACTCAGACAATAATTCTAAGTGTCACAATGCTGGACAGGACAAGGGAGGAAAAAAAAAAGATTGTTGTTTTGTTTGGTCAGATTGCCCAACTACACAACATTCATCTGTTTGCAATTTTTTTCAAACCCTTATTATAAACAGTTTATTTGCTTTTTTGGTTGTTGTTGTTATTTATTTATTTATTGCTTTAGGAGGCTACTGGTGACGGCTCAGAAGTTGCTGATGCTCTCACTGGATCTGGAGATGAGGAGAGTGGGAGGCAGCTTGGGGAAGTGGAGCTACAGTGTGCTCTGTGCATGAAGTGGTTCACTGCAGACACGTTTGGCATTGATACTGCGTAAGTGTATGCAAAATGTTAAAAACTGTAAAATATGCAGGAAAGTATCATTTACTGTCCTCCTTCTGTTTCACAGGACTTGTCTCCCGTTCATGACCAATTATGTGTTTCATTGTAATGTCTGCCATCACAGCGGGAATACGTACTTCCTCAGAAAGCAAGCAAGTAGGTCTTCTGTTTGCTGTAACTTCACTTCATCACAGTTTCATTTGTCCTCGTTTTGTGTTTGAGATTGTTAAATACATTGTTTTGTCTGGCAGATCTGAAGGAAATGTGCCTCACAGCCTTGGCAAACCTTACATCACGGTCCAGAACACAGGATGAACACCCCAAGACCATGTTCTCCAAAGACAAGGTAGAACTGATACTTTCTGTTTAAATAAATAGGGAAGAAGCACAACAACGCTCTGAGCTGCTACAGTCTCGCTTCCCGGATGTAGCAGAGCTGTCTGCCTTGGTGGCGTGGGGTTTGGTAGGCAGGGCGCTCGGTTCTGTTGCTAGGGCGGGACGCCCTCCTTGGATAATGAAAGAGAAGGCACTGATTTTGGAAAGATCTACAATGTTCATCGCACAAAGTTTTTTTCATTTACTTTTTTTGTTGCAGGATATCATACCATTCATTGACAAGTATTGGGAGTGCCTGACAACTCGTCAGAGACCGGGGAAGCTCACCTGGCCCAACAACATAGTGAAAACCATGGTAATAAAATTTAGATCACTTTGGAAATGCACAACAACCATCTGATAAGTCAGTTCTATCCAGTGTGCACACAGGGGGCTGGATTATACTGTTTTTGACTTACAATATGTGGGGGTGTAAAAAATGACAAAAAATCTCAGCAATTATTGTACTATATTAACATGTTATATATACAAAAACAAGCATGCTGGTAAACAAACTACAAACCGGATTCCAAAAAAGTTGGGACACTAAACAAATTGTGAATAAAAACTGAATGCAATGATGTGGAGATGGCAAATGTCAATATTTTATTCGTAATATAACATAGATGACAGATCAAAAGTTTAATCTGAGTAAATGTAACATTTTAAGGGAAAAATATGTTGATTCAAAATTTCACAGTGTCAACAAATCCCCAAAAAGTTGGGACAAGTAGCAATAAGTGGCTGGAAAAAGGAAATCGAGCAAATAACGAACAGCTGGAAGACCAATTAACACTATTTAGGTCAACTGACAACATGACTGGGTATAAAAAGAGCTTCTCAGAGTGTCAGTGTCTCTCAGAAGCCAAGATGGTAAGAGGATCACCAATTCCACCATTGTTGCGCAGAAAGATAGTGCAGCAATACCAGAATGGTGTTACCCAGTGTAAAATAGCAAAGACTTTTAAGTTATCATCATCAACCGTGCATAACATCATCAAAAGATTCAGAGAATCTGGAACAATCGCTGTGCGTAAGGGTCAAGGCCGTAAAACTCTACTGGATGCTCGTGATCTCAGGGCCCTTAAACGTCACTGCACCTCAAACAGGAATGCCACTGTCAAGTAAATAACAGAATGGGCTCAGGAATACTTCCAGAAAGCATTGTCAGTGAACACAATCCACCGTGCCATCCGCCGTTGCCAGCTGAAACTCTACAGTGCAAAGAGGAAGCCATTCCTAAGCAAGCTCCACAAGCTCAGACGTTTGCACTGGGCCAGGGGTCATTTAAAATGGAGTGTGGCAAAATGGAAGACTGTTCTGTGGTCAGATGAGTCACGATTTGAAGTTCTTTATGGAACACTGGGACGCCATGTCTTCCGGACCAGAGAGGACAAGGATAGCCCAAGTTGTTATCAACGCTCCGTTCAGAAGCCTGCATCACTGATGGTATGGGTTTGCATGAGCGCTTGTGGCATGGGCAGCTTGCATGTCTGGAAAGGCACCATTAATGCAGAGAACTATGTTCAGGTTCTAGAACAACATATGCTCCCATCTAGACGTCATCTCTTTCAGGGAAGACCCTGCATTTTTCAACACGATAATGCCAGACCACATTCTGCAGCAATCACAACATCATGGCTACGTAGGAGAAGGATCCGGGTACTGAAATGGCCAGCCTGCAGTCCAGATCAGAGTCAGAGTCAGAGTTTCTTTATTGTCATTCGCACCTCATGTGGTACATGTGGTGGAGCGAAATTATGTACACAAGGTCCCAGTTACATCCAACAATAAAATGTATAAGAAAAACAGTAATAACATCTAAGATATAAACTAAGAAAAACATCAACTAAATATAAACTAAGCACTCATAACATAAAAACATTGAACATCAGCACAAACATGAACATGAGTCTGTGAGCAGATGTGCACGCATGAACACATCAACATTGAAACAGATCAGCAGCAACATGAAACAGATCAGCAGCAACATGATATGGTTTTTCACAGTGATTATTCTAGTTAGAGATTCATGAGTCTAACAGCCTCAGGGTAGAAGCTGTTCCTCAGTCTAGTGGTTCTACACTTAATGCTCCTTAACCTCCTTCCTGAGGGGAGTGGGGCATAAAGTGTGTGTGCTGGGTGAGTGGGGTCCTTCATGCATCTGGAGGTGTAGATGTCTGTGATGGTGGGGAGGCTGATTCCAACAGATTTCTGTGCAGCCTTCACCACTCTCTGCAAAGCTTTTCTTTCTGCAGCTGTGCAGCCTCCATGCCACACATTGATGCTCGAGCACAGGATGCTCTCCACTGCACACCTGTAGAAGGAGGTGAGGACTGAGCTTCCCAGACCAGCTCGTCTCAGCCGTCTGAGGAAGTAGAGTCTGATGAGCTTTCTTGATCAGGCTGGTGGTGTTGTTGCTCCAGCTGAGGTTGTCATTCATGTGTACACCCAAGTACTTGTAGCTGGAGACCACTTCCACCGCAGATCCTCTTATGTTCAGGGGGGTGTAGATGTTTTTGTTCCTTCTGAAGTCCACAATCATCTCCTTTGTTTTCTTCACATTGATGTGAAGGTTATTCTCTCTGCACCAGCTCTCCAGGTGTTCCACCTCTTGCCTGTAGCTGGACTCATCATTGTTTGTGATGCATCCCACCACCGCTGTATCATCTGCAAACTTTACAATGTGACAGCCTGGATGGGTAGCTGCACAATCATACGTGAGCAGAGTAAACAGGAGAGGGCTCAACACACATCCCTGAGGAGAGCCAGTGCTGAGGGTTATGGTGGATGAGGAGAGGTTGTGGATCCTCACTAACTGTGGTCTGTTTGTTAAAAAGTCTAGTACCCAGTTGCAAATGGAGGGGCTTAGTCCTAGTGTGGATAGTTTGTCCATCAGGGTTTGGGGGATCATGGTGTTGAAGGCGGATGTGAAGTCCACAAAGAGCATACGGACGTAAGAGTTTTTCTGCTCCAGGTGGTTGAGTGCAGTGTGGACCACAGAGGAGATTGCATCCTCTGTTGATCGGTTCTCACGGTATGCATACTGATGAGGGTCCTCGTTGATGTTGATGGTTGTTTTGATGCGAGTCATGACCAGTTTTTCAAAGCATTTAGCGACTATCGGGGTGAGGGCCACTGGCCGATAGTCATTCAGACCAGTCACTGTAGAGCTTTTTGGGACTGGGATGACGGTGGCAGTCTTCAGGCAGGTGGGAACTGTCTCCAGGGTAAGTGAGGTGTTAAAGATGTCTGCCAGCACCTCACAGAGCTGATCAGCACATTCCTTCAACACTTTTCCGGGGATGTTGTCTGGGCCGGTTGCCTTGTGCGGATTAATCCTCCTGAAGGTACTCCTTACTTCTGCTGAGGTCACGCTGAGATGCTCTTCATCCGGTGGTGAGGTGAGTCTGGTGCTGGGTGGTCTGTTCGGGTCTTCAAAGCGTGCATAAAACTTGTTGAGGGCATCAGGCAGAGATGGGTCTTTGGGGCATTGTTCACTCCTTCCTTTATAATCTGTTATGCACTTAATGCCCCTCCACATGCTCCGAGGGTCTTGTGAGATGAATTTACCCTCGATCCTCTGTGCATATGTGCCCTTGGCCCTCTTAATACCAGCAACCAGCTCTTTTCTTGTCCTACACAGCTCCTCTTGAGTTTCCAGACCTGAAGGCAGCGTTCCTGGCTTCCAGCAGGGTACGCACCTCTGCATTCAGCCAAGGTTTTCTGTTTGGGTAGCTTTTAACATTTCTGATAGTGGAGACAGTGTCAGTACATGTACTAATGTAACCCAGAACTGAGGATGTGTATTGGTCAAGATCAAGCGAACCTCCATTTTCAGCAGCTTCTCTGAAAACCTGCCAGTCTGTTCGATCAAAACAATCTCTCAGTATGGGGCCACTGTCCTGGATCCAGCATTTAACTTTCTTTTGTACCGGTCTGGAGCGTCTCAGCGGGGGCATGTAAGCAGGAGCCAGGAAGATTGAGATGTGGTCTGACAGTCCTAGGTGGGGGCGGGGTTCGGCTTTGTATGCATCTTTTACGTTCGTGTAAACACGGTCCAGCGTGTGGTCTCCACGTGTCGGAATCGCCACATGCTGATTAAATCTTTCACCTATAGAGAACATTTGGCGCATCATAAAGAGGAAGGTTCGACAAAGAAGGTCCAAGACGACTGAACAGTTAGAGGCCTGTATTAGACATGAATGGGAGAGCATTCCTATTTCTAAACTTGAGAAACTGGTCTCCTCTGTCCCCAGACGTCTGTTGAGTGTTGTAAGAAGAAGGGGGGATGCCACACAGTGGTAAAAATGGACTTGTCCCAACTTTTTTGGGATTTGTTGATGTCATGAAATTTGTAAACAACAGATTTTTCCCTTAAAATGATACATTCTCTCAGTTTAAACTTTTGATCTGTGATTTGTGTTCTATTCTGAATAAAATATTAGATGTTGGCACCTCCACATCATTGCATTCAGTTTTTATTCACAATTTGTTTAGTGTCCCAACTTTTTTGGAATCCGGTTTGTATTATAGTGCATTAAAACACAGTTTATATATACTGATGAGACCCAATGCTACATTTCCGTGTCACTACATAATCATGGTTCCTCCTTATAGTCACTATGTTATTGTGTTCATGGTATCAGCAAATTAAGGGACCAGAATTCCCTCCAGGTCAATGTAGAAGACAAAGAAGACAAAACAATGCAAGACTGTTGTCAGTTTCCACTGTAGTTTACTTACACTTACCATATACAGTAGTCCCTCGTTTATTGCGGGGGATCCATACCCTTAAGCCATGCGACAAGTGAAAAACTGCCATGTAGGAATAGTAGTACAAGTAGTAAGTAGTAGTTTATTTTAGTATATACATATACTGTATATATATGAAGGCGTTTTAAACCCTTCTCACACTCTTACAATGTTCTAAACAATGTTTCTAAACACTGAACGTTCTAAAAGAGACAGCATGTCATGATTTCAGCTCTCTGCCACCTGCCAGCATGCTCGGCCATGCCCACTTCTCTGCTGCAGAGCTGAGATATGACACACTGCAGCAGGAAGTTTATTCTGCAGTGTGGGTGCAGCAGATACAAAATAATTTAAAATAATTTATTTTAAATAAAAATTCCATGCCTATCTTCTTTTGAATAACCGGGATAGAGCGAGCCTGCAATGAACCGTGAAGTATTGAGAGACTACTGTACTTACTTTGCTTATAAACTGGAACCAGTTGCCTGGAAACATGTGACATGTAGAAACGGTTGGTTCCTTTAAATCAGAACTAAAAGCATAACTATTTGCTGCAACCTTCCCATAATTTTTTTTTTTTAGTTTAGCAGTCTGTTTTAATAGTTAATTTTTAAACTTTTTTTAAAATTGCCCTTTTTACAAATTACTAAATTTAATACAATTATTTTCTTTTTACTTTTTAATATAGTTCTTTCTTTTAATGGATTTGCATTTGTCTGTGTCTGTCCACTTTGGATTGCACTGTGTACTAATGATGCTATACAAATAAATTTGCCATGCCAATAATTTTGTAATATTATTATTTTTAACTTTTTATTTTTTTCTAAGAGCAAAGAGCGAGATGTTTTCCTTATGAAGGAACACCCTGATCCTGGCAGTAAAGATCCTGAGGAAGAGTACCCAAAATTTGGCCTTTTGGACCAGGTACCTGAGATGAGTTCACACACTTTGCAGGCTGTATGCATTTGTATAAAAGTTAAAGTGTCATTTGTGTCACTGTTTTTCCTCTGCAGGATCTGGGAAACATAGGGCCTTCATATGACACTCAGAAACAAACCACTGGAACTCCCACAACTGCTGGGCTCAATGGTGAGAATTTAAACCTGTAACTATCCAAACTGGAACCAAACCACTTTAAAACTAGAGTTGTGCACATTGGGAGAAAGAGCAGTTGCTTTAGACCAGGGATGCCCAACTTTTTTTGAACCAAGATTTACTTTTGAAGTTGGCAGCTTGCCAAAATCTACTTGTCTAGTCATAACACACACACATGCCACCTAACATCCATGTGCAGCAGCAGTTCTGTGTGGTCTGCACCTGCCTCCTCCAAGTAAGGAGACTCGGCAGACTCCTGGCCCATAAAGAGCATGCAGTCTTCATGGCGACATCCATCACTTCTTTCTTGTTTAAAGTCTTCTCACACAATACCTGTTGGTGGATCATGCAGTGATAGTTCAGAATATCTGGGAATGATTCAATCTGCTTGCACAGTGCAAGAAATCCACTGGTGTGACCCGTCATCGCTGGAGCGCCATCAGTTGTAACAGAAATTATTTTAAAGAGGGGCAAGTTGTGCTTATTAACAAACTCCTTAAATGCATTGAAAATATCTTCTCTTGCATGTCCTTTCAAAGGCAAGATGGTAAGGAGCTTCTCCTTGGCATTCACGTCTACAAAGGTCATTCTGATAAAAATCACACAGCTGCGCCACATCCATCATATTGGTTGACTCATCAAATTGTAGAAAGAAACACTGACATTGTTTTTTGTCCTTTTTAAGCTGCACATCCACAGCCATCCCCTCACATCACCATGCTGCAGTATTCTGGGACTGCTGCACATTTTTTATAGCAGCTACAATCTCAATTTTATTTTTAAAATCACGAGGAAGTGCATCCACATCCTCAATGAATGCGTTAATAACCTCGCCATTGCTGAAAGACTTTTTTCTTGGGTCAGAATGAAGCTGACCCAGTATGAGGCTATCGTAGCAGCCTTACCTTTAGTGTTGGGCCGGGTGAAAACTGTCTGCTTCGCTGCGAGCTTGTTTTTCAGCTCCTGAACTTTATGGGTTCGTAAAGCAGTTTTAGGAGGGAAATGCATCTCATAGTGTTCGTGCGTGGTCTTGAAGTCCTGTTCCAAGTTACCCTTTTTGAACAAGGCAGTGCTTGCATGACAAGTAAGACAGACTTCATATTTGAGAAAACAACAAAACAATAGTCCTCTTTGGCTCCTCCCACTCCAGGTGAAAATAAAAAAATGTTGCTTGTCTGTTAACTTGTCAGCCAGTGATCATACTCGGCTTTGTGAGCGCGTGAAGCTAAAGTCTCACAAGATATTTTAAGTCAGGGTGCCCAAAAATAACGTGACTGTTGCAAACGAGACCTGGTTATGTCTCGCGAGAATTTAAAAAGAGGCTGGGCGCTTTTATAGTCAAGGTTTGAGCATAAAATACTGTGTAAAATAAAATAAAAAAAACTAAGTTGTGTTCTACAATTCATGCGATCAACTAGAAACCTGTCTGCGACTGACTGGTTGGGTTGGGCACCCCTGCTTTAGACTGAAGTTGACCTACTACTGACACCCCTCTGATTCTGTGGCAGATACAGTGTAAAGTTGGGGTTATCTTTTTCATTTCTCCACTTTATCAAATCATTGTCTTTTTATACACCTGAATTTACTTCACTGGACTCTGTAAGCACACACAAGAGTGAACCGCCTCTCTTTTGTAATACACAGTAATACACATTCAATGTATGAAATGGCTTTGGTTTTGACATAAATGAAGGTGGACAAAGTGACCTTTAACTTCCACTGTACATTGAAACCAAATGTTTTGTGGTGGTCTGCCTTAATTTATTTTTGGAATCAGAGCTTGTGCATTAAGGGAGCTGTACCATCATTGTGAAAGCCCTGCCCACACACCCATCCAACCACCTAACAGGTTGTCATTTTGTCAATCATAATGTAATATGACATGTTTTAAAGCCTCAAATAAGTTATTGAACTTATAATAATGTAAGGTTTCAAAAACTTTATTTGAACATACAGGAGCATGGAACAAATCATGTGAACCAACAGAAATCAACACCTTAAAAAATGATCTGATGTGGATTTTAATTTGTTTTAGTCAGGAAATTGTCCCATTCATTTACATGGGATAGCAGCTCTTCATGTCCCTGCAGGACTTAAAAATTGTACTACAGTAAGCCTATTTGAGGGCGTTCATCCTTTGAGACTTCGATGTCCGGCTTCTGGTCCCTTCTCTAGTCATATGACTCAGTGGTTTAAACTAAAATGTCTTGGTTTATAATTACATTTGTGTTTGCCAATAGACGGCAGTAACACAGAAGCATCTAAAAAAATTAGAACATAGTAAAAAAGTTCAGGGTTTTTTTTAATTTTTTTTTTATTTTGGTCAATCATTTCAGAAAGTGAAACTCATTTTATATAGAATCATCACACACAGAGTGGCATAATTCAGTTCAGTTTATTTATACAGTGCCAAGTCACAACAGAAGTCGTCTCAGGGCACTGTAAATTTCAAGCGTTTACTTTTTATAATTTTGATGATTATGGCTTACAAATGATGAAAAACTAAAATTCCATCCATCCATCATCTTCCTCTTGTTCCGAAGTCGGGTCGCGGGGCAGCAGCTTGAGCAGGGAGGTCCACACATCTCTTTCCATAGCCACCTCTTCCAGCTCTTCTGGGAGGGCTCCATGGTGTTCCCAGGACCACTGAGAGACATAGTCTCTCCAGCTTGTCCTGGGTCTTCCCTGGGGTCTCCTCCCAGTCAGACATGCCCGAAGCACCTCTCTAGGGAGGAATCCTTACCAGATGCCCAAACCACCTCAACTGGCTCCACTGGATGTAGAGGAGCAGCGGTTCTACTTTGAGTCTCTCCTGATAACTGAACTTCTCTCCCTAGAAACTCATTTCAACTGCCTGTATCCACGATCTCATTCTTTCGGTCACTACCCAGAGCTCATGACCATAGGTGAGGGAAGGAATATAGACCAACCAGTAAACAGGGAGATTTGCCCTACAGCTCAGCTCTCTTCTTACACTCCATTCTTCCCTCACTCGTGAACAAAACCCCGAGATACTTGAACTCCTCCACTTGAGGCAGAACCTCACCCTCGACCTGAAAAGAGTAATCCACACTTTTCCAACTGAGGACCATGGCCTCAGATTTTGAGGTGCTGATTCTCATCCCAGCCGCTTCACACTCGTCTGCGAACCGTTCCAGTGAGAGCTGAAGATCACGGCACGATAACACCAATAGGACCACATCATCTGCAAAGAGCACAGATGGAATCCAGAGGGCACCAAACCAGACTCCTGCCCCCTGGCTGCACCAAGAAATTCTGTCCATAAAAGTTATGAACAGAATCCGTGACAACGGGCAGTCCTGGCATAGTCCGACTCCCACCCTGAAGGGGTCCAACTTACTAAGCATTGTGAACCAAGCTCTCGCACCGCTTGTATAGGGACTGAACAGCCCGCCCTCAATGTCCATGCAATGTTGCAAATGTGTGTCAACCAAGACAGTCCCACAACATCTAGAGCCTTCAGGAAATCGGAGTGGATCTTACCACCCTCTGAGCCCTGCAGCCGCAGTGCTTTTTAACTACCTCAGCCATCTCAGTCATGGTTATGGACAGACCAACCCCAAAGTCCCCCAACTCAGCTTCCTCCATGGAAGATGTGCTGGTGGGATTGAGAAGGTCCAAGAAATATTCCTAAAATCCCACAATTCAATGTCTCAGAAAATTAGAGAATTGTGAAGAAGTTTAGTATTGGACACTCATGGTGTCACACCCTAATCAGCTAATTTATTCCTAAACAAATGTCGTATTCCTGAAATCAAGTCACTTCTGAACCAGAGACAACACCAGAAGCATCTTACCTCGCAGAGGAGCCAAAGAACTGGTTTGTGGCTCAGCGGTCCAATGTCCTCTTTTCAGATGAAGGTACATTTTCATGTCATTTGTAAATCAAGGTCCCAGAGTCTGGAGGAAGAGTGGAGAGGTCCCGAATCCATGTTACTGAAGTCCACAATGAAGTTTCCACAGTCAGTGATGGTTTGGGTCCATGTCCTCTGCTGGTTCTGGACCATTGTGTTTTTAGAAGTCCACAGTCAACGCAGCATCTACCAGGACATTTTAGGGACTTCATGCTTCCTTCTGCTGACGAACTTTATGGAGATGCTGATTTCATTTTCCAGCAGGACTTGGTTCCTGCCCACACTGACAAAGCTGCCTGTGTAATATTCTAATTTTGTTTTTTCATTTTTTTTTAAGCCGACATCATCAAATTTACAAGAAATAAAGGCTTGAAATATTTCACACACTGTGTAATGACTCTATGTATGCTCTGACATGACTGACAAAAAGAAAATAACTTTTTCACTGTACAGTAGTCCCTCGCTACGTCGTGGTTCATTTATCGCGGACTCGCTCTATTGCGGTTTTTCAAAATAAGATTGGACATGACACACAATTGGCTGACTGATGGATGAGCCGCACAATCAGCATGAAATTTTTATTTAAAATTAGTTGTTTAAAATTGTTTAGCACCTGCTGCACATTTGTGCAGCCCACACTGCAGGATAAACTTCCTTCTGCAGCTGATCAGCTGTTGTCTGTGCAGCGTGGAGAAGTGGACATGACTAAGAACGCATGCAGGCAGCTGATAGCAGAGGAGGCAGAGCTAAAATCATGACATTCTGTGCTCTTTTAGAGCGTTTTGAAACATTGTTTAGAATATTGCAAGAGTGGGAAGAGTTTAAAACGCCTTACTACTTGTACTGCTATTCCTACTTCGCGGCTTTTCACTTATCATGGGGAATGTAACCCTTGCAATAATCGAGGGACCACTGTACAGTACTCTATTTTCAATGTAAAGCCCATGGGGGCAGAGATGGGGTAGAGGCAGGGCCGACCTGGGACCTATAGGTCCCAGGCTTGATCCCCAGCCATCCCCACATGTCGTTGGGTCTCTGAGCAAGACACCCAATCCCCAATTGCGCCCCGGGCGCTTACATAGCTGCCCACTGCCCCACCCGGGTGCATCCCAGGTGCGATGAGTTAAATGTAGAGAATTAATTTTGCCATTGTATGGGAACATACATTGATGACAACACATAGCACTTTACTATAGAGTCAAAGGTTTGCTGCTTGTTCTAACACAAGCTACCCAGTGAGTGGATGAGCTGCCAACTTTGGTGGTTTTATTTTGGTTTAGCTTTTGAAATGTTTGGCTAAATAAAATAAATTTATATTCTGTTTGGATGAAGATATAGTTTGCATTTTACTTTTTAAACTGGCAACAAAAGACTCCAAGACTGTGCTGGGTAATGAATTAAAGTTTGGTGTAAAATCAGCTGACATGACTTGGATTTAGAAATGTGTTGACCATAGTGATTGTGTGCATTGTTTTCCAGGTGGATCTACTTTCTCAGGTGAATATGTGGTATTTTGGTCCCTGAAGCTTATCAGTGTGTTTTGTGTCTTGTTAACCCTCTGGATAGAAGTTGGCCCTGAGGTTTCAGTTCCCCTCCAGTTTGCTTTTTTTTCCCTGAACTCCTCTCTAACCAAACTGATTCTGAACAAGCATCTTGTGGGCAACTTTATCCATGTGCAGTTGTATTCTTGTCTGCTCTCTGCATCTCTTTGGTGCTCCTCCTCCTTCACAAAAAAAGGCTTACCTCCCCCCATTGGTGAATATACTTTTCACGTCCCCGGCTGACTGCTAACAGGGTCTGAAACCCTCCAGAGTCTCTCCCGACTGAAATGGCAGTCTGCTCTTCAACGTGAAGTCCACTTGAGTTCAGAGTGCCATTTCTGATTTGCAGATGGCTTTTACCAATACTTATTAGTCTCACCCTCTTCACTTTTCCTTGGTTGCAGATTTGTTTGTAAAATAACATTAGAACCATTAAATTTCATTTTCAAAAATTTAAATTTCATTTCATTTATTCTGAGGTCCAAACTAACATTTTTCACATTTGAAAGCCAGTGTTTCAATTAGTTAAATCTGCCAAAATCTGTTACCTATGAAGGTGAATAAATTTTCTTATTGCAGCTCCTGTTCCTTTTTATTCAAACATTTTAGAAATACCAGAAAATTTAACAAGATTACTTACTTCAGCATGATGTTGGACTAACTGATTAAAAACATTAGGTTTACTTTTTGAAGCAAATTATCATTCTCAGCCATTAAATACACTGAACAAAAATACAAACGTAACACTTTTGTTTTTGACTCCAATTTTGAAGAGCTGAACTCAAAGGTCTAAGACTTTTTCTTTAGGGTGTATTCACACCAGCCCTGTTTAGTCCGCTTTAATCGAACTCTAGCTCGTTTTCCTAGAAAGTCCGGTTCGTTTGGGGAGGTGTGAATGCGCCATCAAACTCTGTCACGGAACAAAAAGGCAAACTCTGGCCCAGGCTAAATCCTAGGTCTCGGTCCGGTGGAAGAGAACTCCAGCGCGGTTCGAGTACAGTGTGAATGTAAACAGACCGAGCCCCGCTCCATAAGCGAGAAGTGGAGGACAGCGCAGGGCAAATAAACATGCATTTCTCTTATCTTATATGGAGCCGTCAGCTGCCTTGTGTGAAAAACAACATTCTCCATGGTTTTCTGCCTCATCTTCTGCTCATGCTGAGTCCATTTTTGAAAAATGACAAAATATAACTCCTAAAACTGCTAAAACTTGATGTCACTCATAAAAAAGTTAAATCTGGTCCTCTGGACATTCAAAAAAAACAAAATAAAGCAAAACAACAAAAAAATGTAGAAACGTTTCGTCTTTCATCCGAAGTTTCTACATTTTTTTGTTGTTTTGCTTTGTTTTGTTTTTTTGAATGTCCAGAGGACCAGATTTAACTTTTTTAGATTTTTCTACCTGGATTATTGAGCATGCATCAGGATATTTTGATGCCACTCCGTTTTTATTTTTATTTCCAGAAGAAGAAGTGTCTTCAGAGGTTTTTGTGTTGTTTCTTTCAGTAGTTCTTGGTGCAGCGCCCCCACAGGCAAGCGGGGTAATAGGTTGGTTCAATAGGTTGGCTCGTCTGCACAGTGCAGTGTGAATGCAAACGCACCAGCTCAAATGTAAACAAAAGTTCATGAATATTGGTCCCGAACCGAGTCTACTGGACTATCAGGTGTGAAAACAACCTTAGACTCAACAGGCCTTTTCCTCTCAAATATTGTTCACACATTTGTGTAACGCTGTGTTAGTAAGCACTTCGCCTTTTGTAGAGATTATCCATCCACCTCACAGGTGAGGCAGATCAAGATGCTGCTTACAGCATGATTAGTGCACAGGTATGCCATAGGCTGACCACAATAAATGGTCATTCTAGAATGTGCAGTTTTATCACACAGCACAATGACACAGATTTCACAGGTTTTGAGGGAGCGTGCAGTTGGCATGCTGACTGCAGGAATGTCCACCAGATCTGTTGCCTGTGAACTGAATGTTCATTTCTCTACCATAAGCCATTTCCAAAAGTGTTCCAGGGAATTTGGCAGTACATCCAACCAACCTCACAACCACAATCCACATTTAAATACACCAGCCCAGGACCTCCACATCCAGCATCTTCACCTCCAAGATCATCTGAGTCCAGCCACCTGGACAACTGCTGCAACAATTGGTTTGAATAACCAAAGAATTTTTGCACAAAGAGTCCTCATCGGGGTCCCCACCTGACTGCAGTTCATCGTTGTAACTGGCTTGACTGGGCAAATTCTCAAACTCTATGGCGTATGGCACGTTGGAGAGGCGATCTCCTCACAGATGAATCCCGGTGTTCACTGTACAGGGCAGATGGCAGACATATGGTTTTGTGTGGGTGAGCGGTTTGCTGATGTCAGCGTTGTGAATCGAGTGGCCCATGGTGGCGGTGGGGTTTTGGTATTCAGGAAGGCATATGTTATGGACAACAAACACGGTAGCATTTTATTGATGGCATTTTGAATGCACAAAGATACAGTGACTAGATCCAGAGGCCCATTGTTGGACCATTCATCCATGACCATTAACTCATGTTGCAGCATCCATCCATCAATTATCTTTTACCCGCTTCTTCCATTTTGGTTCACGGGGGTTGCCAGTGCCCATGTCCAGCAGTCACTGTGCGAGGGGCGGGGTACACCATGGACAGGTCTCCAGTCCATCACAGGGACACAAGAGACAAACAACCATTCACTCTCTCTCTCTCACACCTAGGGACAATTTAGAGTTACCAGTCAGTCTAACATGCATGTTTTTGGTCTGTGGGAGGAAACTGGAGTACCTGGAGAAAACCCACGCATGCACGGAGAGAACATGCAAACTCCACACAGAAAGGCCCCCAGACCAGGATTTGAACCAGGGACCTGCTCACTGAGAGACAGCAGCTCTACCAGTTGTGCCACCGTGCTGCCCATGTTGCAGCATGATAATTCAATTTTCAATTCAGTTTATTTATATAGCGCCAAATCACAACAAAGTTGACTCGGCACTTTACAGGAAAATTCACATACATAAAAAAGCCAATTAGTAAAGTTCTCTATTTAAGGAATCAGCAGACAAGTTGAATCTTCACTTCATCACAGTCTCCCATTCTGAGCAAGCACTGTGGCAACAGTGGAAAGGAAAAACTCCCTTTTAAAAAGAAGAAACCTCCAGCAGAACCAGGCTCAGGACAAGCAGCCATCTGCTTTGACTGACTGGTTTGAGAGGACAGAAAGGAGAGACAAACGAACACAGAGTGTTGGGTCCAAAAATAGGTCCAGGTGTACCTGAAAGACAAAAATTCATGTTAAGGATAGAAAAAATAATTACAAATACAAAACAGGTTGAGCAGAGTGAGTAAAGACAGTAGCAGAGTGAAAAAGTGTGGTCAGTTTGTCCTCCAGCAGTCTAAGCCTATATCAGCATAACTAAGGGATAGCTCAGGAAACCCAAGCCGACCCTAACTATAGGATTTATCAAAAAGAAAGTCTTAATCCCAGTCTTAAAACTGGACAATGTGTCAGCCTCATGGACAGAAACTGGAATTTGGTTCCACAAGAGAGGAGCCTGAAAACTGAAAGATCTGCCTCCCATTCTTTTCTGTAATGCACTGCCACATGTTGCTAGGACCTGTACACAATTCTTGGAAGCTGAAAACATGCTAGTTCTTGCATGGCCAGGATACTCACCAGACATGTCACCCATTGAGCATGTTTGGGAAGCTCTGGATCAGCATATATTACCACTTGTCCAGCAACTTCACACAGACATTGAAGAGAAGTGGTCCAACACTCCACAGGCCACAATCAATAACCTGATCAACTCTATGTGAAGGAGATGTGTAGCACTGCATGAGGCAAATGATGGTCACACCAGATACTGACTGGTCCCTCCACGATATAGTAAAACTGCACATTCTAGAGTGACCTTTTTTTGTGGTCAACCTAATGCACACCTTTGCACTAATCATGCTGTCTAATCAGCATCTTGATCTGCCTCATCTATGAGGTGGATGGATTATCTTGGCAAAGGAGAAGTGCTCACTAACACAGAGTTACACACATTTCTGAACAATATTTGAGAGGAAAAGTCCTGTTGTAAACACAGAAAAAGTCTTAGATCTTTGAGTTCAGCTCATGAACAATGGGAGCAAATACAAAAGTGTTACGTTTATATTTTTGTTCAGTGTGTTTAGTTCAGTTGATAATAAATTGTTCAGTTGTTAGTGGCCCTTTTCAAAAAATCACACTGTCTCTTGTGTGTTGCTTTCTTAATTCTCTTTAAATATCTAAAATTTGATGATTTTCTAAAGTGAGACCCTGCCAGAGTTAATTTTAGTAGACTTTTATATTTAAATTAGAAGTTAGCCATACAGACTGAACAAATGGCGGTGTGACATTGAAGAGGTAACATCAGAGACTGATGGTGTTTGGTAAAATGCCATGCTAATTAATTCCTGCCTTTTTTGCTCGCTCCCCTCCCCCTGTGGACCTGATAACCTGCTTTTGCTCATTGTGTGTGTGCGTGTGCGTTTGTGTTCAGTGGCAGGCTCTAATGGCGTTATCATTAGTAAGACATAAAATGTCAGCTTGTTGTGTCAAAGCATTGCCCTGCAAAAGTTTTCCATCGTTGTTGCATTACAAGCTGTACTTTAATTAACATGTTTGTAATGAGCCTTTTAAAAAACTGATAACTGAAACTGTATATATAATTTTTACTAAAGAAAATACTATTCAGATGTTCTCTCATTCTTAGTTACTACAGTACCTTGCGAAAGTATTCGGCCCCCTTGAACTTTTCAACTTTTTGCCACATTTGAGGCTTCAAACAAAGATATAAAATTTACATTTTTTATGAAGAATCAACAACAAGTGGGACACAATCGTGAAGTGGAATGAAATTTATTGGATGTGTCAAACTTTTTTAACAAATAAAAAACTGAAAAGTGGGGCGTGCGATATTATTCGGCCCCTTTACTTTCAGTGCAGCACACTCACTCCAGAAGTTCAGTGAGGATCTATGAATGATCCAATGTTGTCCCAAATGACTGATGATGATAAATAGAATCCACCTGTGTGTAATCAAGTCTCCGTATAAATGCACCTGCTCTGTGATAGTCTCAGGGTTCTATTCAAAGAGCAGAGAGCATCATGAAGACCAAGGAACACACCAGGCAGGTCCGAGATACTGTTGTGGAGAAGTTTAAAGCCGGATTTGGATACAAAAATATTTCCCAAGCTTTAAACATTCCAAGGAGCACTGTGCAAGCAATCATATTGAAATGGAAGGAGTATCAGACCACTGCAAATCTACCAAGACCCGGCCGTCCCTTTAAACTTTCATCTCAAACAAGGAGAAGACTGATCAGAGATGCAGCCAAGAGGCCCATGATCACTCTGGATGAACTGCAGAGATCTACAGCTGAGGTGGGAGAGGCTGTCTATAGGCCAACAATCAGTCGTACACTGCACAAATCTGGCCTTTATGAAAGAGTGGCAAGAAGAAAGCCATTTCTCAAAGATATCCATAAAATGTGTTGTTTAAAGTTTGCCACAAGCACCTGGGAGACACACCAAACATGTGGAAGAAGGTGCTCTGGTCAGATGAAACCAAAATCCAACTGTTTGGCCACAATGCAAAATTATATGTTTGGCGTAAAAGCAACACAGCTCATCACCCTGAACACACCATCCCCACTGTCAAACATGGTGGTGGCGGCATCATGGTTTGGGCCTGCTTTTCGTCAGCAGGGACAGGGAAGATAGATGGGGCCAAATACAGGACCATTCTGGAAGAAAACCTGTTTGAGTCTGCAAGAGACCTGAGACTGGGACGGAGATTTATCTTCCAACAAGACAATGATCCAAAACATAAAGCCAAATCTACAATGGAATGGTTCACAAATAAACGTATCCAGGTGTTGGAATGGCCAAGTCAAAGTCCAGACCTGAATCCATTCGAGAATCTGTGGAAAGAGCTGAAGACTGCTATTCACAAACGCTCTCCATCCAACCTCACTGAGCTCGAGCTGTTTTGCAAAGAAGAATGGGCAAGAATTTCAGTGTCTCCATGTGCAAAACTGATAGAGACATACCCCAAGAGACTTGCAGCTGGAACTGCAGCAAAAGGCGGCGCTACAAAGTATTAACGCAAGGGGGCCGAATAATATTGCATGCCCCACTTTTCAGTTTTTTATTTGTTAAAAAAAAGTTTGACACATCCAATAAATTTAATTCCACTTCACGATTGTGTCCCACTTGTTGTTGATTCTTCACAAAAAAAAATTTAATTTTATATCTTTATGTTTGAAGCCTGAAATGTGGCAAAAAGTTGAAAAGTTCAAGGGGGCCGAATACTTTCGCAAGGCACTGTGTATAGTGCTGTCGGTTTCTTTGAGTAGTTAAAGGGATATTCCAGTCAGTTTAGAATGGGGTTCTGTAGAAAGGTTATAAACAATTAATATCTTACCTGTTGTAGATACTGTAGCTGTTTGAACCATCTCAGTATGGAGAAATAGTTTCTTTCTGACAAGACTGGCAAGCTAACTTCTCATCCAAACACCACTGTGTTTCGATGAGTTGTCCTAAATGGCTCCAATCTAAAAACAATTTGTAAGAATTCATACTTTTCATAGAGCTAAAGAACAATTTTGCAAGCGCAAATAGCAGCAACTCTGATTTATAACACTTCTAGTGCAGCTTGGGGTCAAACCTGGCAGGAACTGCATAATATTTTTGCCAAAATACATGTACTGTATAATTAATAACAGGTAGTAATGTAAAGGTTTAAAGAGGTGTTTGCACTAAACTTTGTCAAGTTTTTAAAAATTCGAAGTCTATAAGATGACAGCGATCCATTTTGGAGCTGGTTTTGTTTTGACAAGCTTGTCTGAGTGGACTCTGTTTCTGTCTTAAAACAAACACGATAGAGCCACATGTGGCACAAACCTGAAAAACTTCATCTCCATTCTGAGGCACGGAGGGGACAGTGTCATGATGAAGGAATGTTTTTTACAGATTTAAAGGAAGATCATTACAACTTGACCCCAAGAAAACTGCAAGTGTTGAGTAGTTTAAAACTGAATATTTAAAATCTTGTGAATTTTCCTTGTTAATACTCAGATGTCAGTCTGAGATGAAGACGCACTCCTAGACATCTGGACTGTTTTTGTAGCAAAAGTGTCTCCACAGAGTTTTTTAAGCTGCATTAGTACATTAAATCTGTGTGAACAGTTCTTTCTTTTTACCTAGTTTCATTGTTTTCTTTCTTGCATAATTAAAAATACAAATAATTTTAAAATGTTGCACATTCTGTGTTGATCAGATGTTATCAATTTAACAATCTTTTTAATTACCGGTTGTAAGGCAACAAAATAAAGGAGTAATAGAAAATTCTATCTGAATGGACAAACTTAAGTATAGCAGTTTGCTATTTAAACAAAGATGAACAATATTCGTGTTGCAAAACTTTCTTACCGATTGTTTCAAAAGACCTTATAGGTTTAAACTTAATACTTTGACGGGTGTACTCCTGTGACTTCAGCTAACTAAAGAATACCATGGAAATGGGAAACCTTCTTGACAGTCTGCTGTGATGGATGTAATACAAAATGAACAAAGCTTAAGCGAGTGATTATTAGAGGGCCGTTGAGTATTTTAAGACTAGTTAATTTGCTGTAATAAGTTGTCAGATGTGTGTGTGCGTGAGAGCATCGCCTTTGCTACTGACTGATCTTGTAATCATTTGTGTTTATTTGGGTTAATTTTATTTATTGTTTTGTTCTTTTGAAGGTGCTCTGGCCCCTGGCCCAGGGAAAGGACGAGGAGCCAAACGTAAGCAGCAGCAGCAACAGGAAGGTACAGCTGCAGGAGCAACAAAGAGAACCAGGAGGTAAGAAATGTATCTGAATGTCTCAATCTTACATAAACTCTTGGATTATGATCAAAACATAACTGACTGATCATGACTGGGGTCACTGAAGACTCTCACTGTTTTTTTTTTATTATTTTTTTTTTTACCTCAGCCACAACAGCGATATTTAATGTAGCACAAGGCTAATTAGAAGATAAATGCAAAATTACAGATACAACATTACCAAAGCTATTTCTAAATTTCTTGATCTACATCATTGGGCTACATTAAAACCTGTTGCCATTCATCAATATCACTGAGTCATTCAGAAGTACCGCAGACAGAGGAGACAGCAACACACTTATAATTATGTAGCAAAAACCTGTGTTAAATGTAAATATAGAACAGTTACTATTCAGTATCATAGAATAGATTACGGTATAATTTCAAGTTTTTATTTTGGACAATTGCTCGCTTCAGGTCCTTCCACAACATTTGGATTGGATTAAGATCAGGACTTTGACTTGGCCATTCTAAAATATGAACTTTAATCTTCTTGAACCATTCTTTGGTAGAACCACTTGTGTGCTTTGGATCACGTTCTTGCTGCATGACCCACCTTCTCTTGAGATTCAGTTCATGGACAGATGTTCTTTCCTTTAGAATTCTCTGATATAATTCAGAATACATTGTTCCATCGATGATGGCAAGCCTTCCTGGCCCAGATGCAGCAAAACAGGCCCAAACCATGATTCTACCATCACCATGTTTCACAGATGGGATAAGGTTCTTAGTTTAGTTCTTAGGTTCTCTGCAGGAATGCAGAGTTTACCTTTCTCCAAACATAACACTTTTCATTTAAACCAAAATGGACCCTGGGTCCTTCGTGACCTCGCCGACTATTCCACGCCTTGCTCTTGGAGTAATATATTTTGTAAGCTGTGATCTTTGTTGGTCCACCACTCCTGGGGAGGGTAGCAATGGTCTTGAATTTCCTCCATTTGTACGCAATCTGTGTGACTGGATTGGTGGAGTCCAAACTCTTTATAAATGGTTTTGTAAACTTTTTCAGCTTGATGAGCATCAACAACTGTTTTTCTGAGGTCCTCAGAAATCTTTTTTCGTGCCATGATCCGCAAACATGTTGTGAAGAGCAGACTTTGATAGATCCGTGTTCTTTAAATCAAACAGGGTGCCCACTCACACCTAATCATCATCTCATTGATTGAAAACACCTAACTTTAATTTAATCTTCAAATTAACTGCTAATCCTAAATGTTCACATACTTTTACCACTCACAAATACACTATATGGCCAAAAGTATTTACTCACCTGCCTTGACTCACATATGAGCTAAAGTGACATCCCATTCCTAATCCATAGGGTTCAATATGACGTTGGTCCACCCTTTGCAGCTAGAACAGCTTCAACTCTTCTGGGAAGGCTATCCACAAGGTTTAGGAGTGTGTTTATGGGGATTTTTGACCATTCTTCCAGAAGCACATTTGTGAGGTCACATACTGATGTTGGACGAGAAGACCTGGCTCTCAGTCTCCGCTCTAATTCATCCCAAAGGTGTTCTATCAGGTTGAGGTCAGGACTCTGTGCAGGCCAGTCAAGTTCATCCACACCAGACTCTGCCATCCATGTCTTTATGGACCTTGCTTTGTGCACTGGTGCACAGTCATGTTGGAAGAGGAAGGGGCCAGCTCCAAACTGTTCCCACAAAGTTGGGAGTACGGAATTGTCCAAAATGTCTTGGTATGCTGAAGCAGTCAGAGTTCCATTCACCGGAACTAAGGTGCCAAGTCCAGCTCCTGAAAACCAACCCTTCACCTTAATCCCCCCTCCACCAAACTTTACATTTGGAACAATGCAGTCAGACAAGCACCGTTCTCCTGGCAACCACCAAACCCAGACTCATCCATCAGATTGCCAGATGGAGAAGCGCGATTCGTCACTCCAGAGAAGGCGCCTCCACTGCTCTAGAGTCCAGTGACGGCGTGCTTTACACCACTGCATCCGACGCTTTGCATTGCACTTGGTGATGTATGGCTTGGATGCAGCTGCTCGACCATGGAAACTCATTCCATGAAGTTCTCTGCACACTGTTCTTGAGCTAATCTGAAGGACACATGAAGTTTGGAGGTCTGTAGTGATTCACTCTGCAGAAAGTTGATGACCTCATTGCACTATGCATTTCAGCATCCACTGACCCTGCTTCGTCAGTTTACGTGACCTACCACTTTGTGGCTGAGTTGCTGTCCCAAACACTTCCATTTTTTCATAATACAGCTGACAATTGACTGTGGAATATTTAGGAGCGAGGAAATTTCACGACTGGATTTATTGCATAGGTGGCATCCTATCAGTTCCACGCTGGAATTCACTGAGCTCTCGAGAGCAACCCATTCTTTCACAAATGTTTGTAAAAACGGTCTGCATGCCTAGGTGGCACCTGTGGCCATGGAAGTGATTTGAACACCTGATTCCGATAATTTGGATGGGTGAACAAATACTTTTGACAATGTAGTGTATGTAATATTGGATCATTTTCATCAATAAATAAATGATAATAATATGTTTGTCTTATTTGTTTAACTGGGTTCTTTATCTATTTTTAGGACTTGTGCGAAAATCTGATGATGGTTCAGATCATATTTAGGCAGAAATATGGAAAATTCTAAAGGCTTCACAAACTTTTAAGCATCACTGTAAAGTCATGGGACAATGAAAGAAAGATATGATAAAATCTCTTAATTTTTTTCATCCATCCATCCATCCATTATCTTCCGCTTGTTCCGAAGTCAGGTCGCGGGGCAGCAGCTTGAGCAGGGAGGCCCAGACATCTCTTTCCACAGCCACTTCTTCTAGCTCTTCTAGGGTGACCCCAATGCGTTTCCTGGCCAACCGAGAGACATAGTCTCTCGAGCATGTCCTGGGTCTTCCCCGGGGTCTCCTCCCAGTTGGACATGCCCGAAGCACCTCCCTAGGGAGGCGTCCAGGGGGCATCCTTACCAGATGCTCGAACCACCTCAACTGGCTCTTCTCGATGTGGAGGAACAGTGATTCTACTCCGAGTCTCTCCTGGATAACTGAACTTCTCACCCTATTTTTAAGAGAATGTCAAGCTACCCTGCAGAGGAAACTCCTTTCATCTACCTGTATCCACAATCTCATTTTTTCGGTCACTACCCAGAGCTTGTGACCATAGGTGAGGGTAGGAACATAGACTGACCAGTAAATAGAGAGCTTTGCCTTACAGCTTAGCTCCCTCTTCACCACAACGAGATATGCAACGCAATACTGCAGACATTGCACCAATCCGTCTGCCAATCTCACGCTCCATTTTTCCCTCACTCGTGAACAAAACCCCGAGATACTTGAACCCCTCCACTTGAGGCAGACCCTCACCCTCGACCTGAAGAAAGTAATCCGCCTTTTCTGGATCAGGACCACGTCTTCAGATTTGGAGGTACTGATTCTTATCCTAGCCGTTTCACACTCGGCTGCAAATCGCTCTGAGAGCTAAAGATCACAGCACAATAACGCCAACAGGACCACATCATCTGCAAAGAGCAGAGATGGAAACTTGAGGCCACCGAACCGGAAACCCTCCACCCCCTGGCTGCACCGAGAAATTATGTCCATAAAAGTTATGAACCGAACCAATGACAATGGGCAAACCCGGCAGAGTCCAACTCCCACCCTGAAGGGGTGCGACTTACTACCAGCAATGTGAACCAAACTTGCACTGCTTGTATAGGGATTGAACAGCCCATAACAATGGGCCCCCAATCCCATACAAATGGAGCACTCCCACAGTGTACCTCGAGGAACACAGTCGAGTGCCTTCTCCAAGTCCACAAAACGCATGTGGGCAAACTCCCATAACCCCTCGAGGACCCTAGTGAGGGTAAAGAGCTGATCCCGTGTTCCATGGCCAGGACGGCTTCCTGGTGCCAAGTGCACTTATGGACACCCTTATGTTCAAACATGGTGTTTGTGATGGACAACAATGACTAGCACAGAAGTCTAACAACAGAACACCGCTCGGGTTGATATCAGAGAGGCTGTTCCTCCCAATCACACCCCTCCAGGTAACACTGTAATTTCCCACATGGGCATTGAAGTCCCCCTGTAGAATAACAGAATTCCCAGTTGGTGCATCTTCCAGCACCCCCGCCAAGGACTCCCAAGAAAGCCAGATACTCTAAACTGTCATTTGGCGCATAAGCACAAACAGCAGTCAGAGCCCGTTCCACTACCCGAAGGTGCAGGGAAACGACCCTCTCATCTACCGGGGAAAACTCCAACACACAGGCACCAAGTCAGGGGGGCTAAAAGTATACTCACACTAGCTCGATGCCTCTCACCATGGGCAATTCCAGAGTGGAATAAAGTCCAGCCCCTCCCCAAGAGATTGGTTCTAGAGCCCATTCTATGCGTCGAGGTGAGCCCAACTGTATCTAGTCAACCTCACGCACAAGCTCAGGCTCCTTCACTACCAACGTTCCATGTCCCAAGAGCCAGCTTTGATAAACTACGGTCAGAGTGCCAAGGTCCCTGCCTTCAGCCACTGCCCATGGATTCACGCACCCGACTCATATGGCCCCTCCTGCAGGTGGTTGGCCCACAGGAAGGCAAACCCATGTTGCTCATTCAGGCTGAGCCTGACTGGGCCAGTTCTCATGGGTAGAGACCTGGTCACCAGGCACTCACTGACGAGCCCCTCCCCCAGGCCTGGCTCCAAGGTCCCCATTAACCCACGTCTGGGCAAGGGACACGTAGTTCCTTGCTGTTTCATGTCCATAAGAGTCTTTGGAATCACTCTTTGTCGGGCCTGTCACCTAGAACCAATCTGCCTTACGAGACTCTACCAGGGGCAATTAAAATTGCCCCAGACAGTGTAACTCGTAGGATCATTCAGGTGCACAAACTCCTCCACCATGATAAGGTGGCGATTCAAGGAGGAGTTTATTTTTTCCACATTGGGGAAATTCAGATGTCACAGTAGCAACAAGACATAGTACGGAAG